GGAAGAGGAGACTGAGGGGATCTGTTGGTGACATACAAGTATGTGAGGGGATGTAACATGGAGGTGGGTAGAGACCTGATCTCCCCTGCAGAGGAAGGAAGGACAAGCTCCAACGGAGCAAAGCTCAGGGAGCCAAGGTTCCATTTGGATGCCAGGAAGCACTTCCTCACAATTAGGACCCCGAGGGTATGGAATGGGCTTCCACAGGAGGTGGTTGAGGCCCCATCGGTGAGGGTGTTCAAGGATAGGCTAGAGTTGCACATCATGAGCGGAACCAGCTGGAGCCAGGGGTCAGACTAGATGGCCCGGGAGGCCCCTTCTGACTCACTTTGTTTCTATGTTTCTTCAATCCCCTTATCCTAAATGTTGAGCGGTTAAACTTTAAAGATGTCAAATATCCAGTTTAAATAAACAAAAAACAGCTGAATGATCTTCTAAGAGGAAGTGGAGATGAAAAGGATACATAAGAGAAAAGAGATCCTTGCACTCTTTAGGAATTTTTAAGAAAACAAGCAGCAAAAAGCACATTCTTTCTGATTGCAGTAAAAAACCACTTCCAAGCCTTAGCGTGTACTTGCTACAGAATGTTCTTTGTGAGTCTGCACTTCTGTCCAACTTCTTCTCATGAACCACTTTGCAGCAAAGGGAGGAGAAGGACAAACATCTCTGGCCAAGGGGAAGAAAACGGATGGATTTGGTCTCTGTGTGACTCACCGCCTTAGAGAAACACACATGCACATATGTACACACATGTATGCACACACAAATGTCTGGGCTCTTTAAGAACTGCACAGAAGAATAGGAGAGACACAGAAAGACAATTAAGATTAAGTCGGCATTAATGTATTTGCAACATCACCAGTCACTAAACCAAAATTATCCCTCTCCTCACACTGATTTGCATGATTCCAACTCTAACTACACTCATCTGAATGGACAGATCCCCAAATTTCATGTACGATTTATGTAAAACTTTCTACAGTTTGAGGCCAGTTCTGTAGTTAGAAAACAATTGACACTGGCATTGGGTGGGAAAATTTAAACGCCTCACTGAAACAATTTTGGAATAGAAGTTCTTTATGCCCCTTAAAAGCAAACAAGAAATGTTATAGAGCCAGGAGCTTAATAAACTGAGCATGGCATAAGCATGGGAGAAAGGAAGGGAAAATGGAAGTAGAAGCCTAGGGAAGAAGAAAGAAGCAGGGAGTGGAGGTTCAGGTAGAAGACTGAGGCAGCCGATAGATTTAAGAGAACCAAGAAACAGGAAGAAAGAGGGCTAATGTAGTGTAGTGCTTGAAATATTGGATAGAATCAAAAAGTAGAATCTCCATGCAGCCATGATTGGTAAACAGAACCAGTCACTAATTTTCATTCTAATATGACAGGGCTGTCGTGAGGACAAAATGGGGGTGCCCTGAGTTTTTTTTGATGAATGGTTCCGTGTAAGCAAGCAGAAAAACGAGAGGCTGATGGGGTGATGTTAATTCAACAGGGAAAATCATTTGGAGCTGTCTTTTAATAGCCAAAGCCGACACTTCTGCCTACATTTCCTTATATGTTCTCACCATTTAATGGTATGCTTACTAGTGGAATAATAAATATTTCAGCAAGGAGTTCATCCTTACATACTCAAGGTCCCAGATAGCCATTAAGGGATCAGAGCAGATGACAGTAGTCTAGCCTTAAGGTTTTTAGAAAGACATAGAATGGGTGGGCAACCTTTGCCTAATTTCAAAAGCCCCTGAATTCAATTAGTTCAGATCTCTGGCAAGATCAAGCTGCCCCTTTCCTGACAGCCTACTCTGTGAGAAAGAAAAGGGATAGGGAGAAAAGGAAGTGGCAGAAAAAGAAAAGGTATGACCCACTCACTTTGACTCTGCTCATGCTCCCATCAACGTTGGCCCCAGGAAACCACTGAGATGTGACCCTAATAAATCACCCATAAGATATTGCAAGCCTCAAAAGTTTGCCCACCCTATTGTTAAACCCAGTGAGCACACTCCAAACAGGACATGCAAAAAAAGTTGTGGCTGTCAAACTAGAGCAAAACTCTCTTTGACAAGAATAAAGAGAAGAGCTTTCAAAAGTATTATTATTTGGATGGAAGATTTCCAGTTAGTTTCTGTGGAAGAAACTAACATCTGAATGAAACTAGAATTCAAATGCTGAGGGGCAGATTTTGTTGGAACAATGTGTCAGCCAAGAGTGTGAGCATCCTGGAAAGAATCCCATAGACCCATGTTAGATAGGTGGGACTGTGAGAACTCTTTAATGTTTTTAATTAAATGCATCATTCATTTTATAGTATTTCTACCCCATTCTTCAACAAAAGGGATTTCTGCAGGAGCATACATAAGATCAGTAAAAAGAAGACAGTCCCTATGGACAGTGTTACAAACTTAGAAACATAACAAGGGGTATTTGTATGTTGCACAGGACACCCTCCACCCACTTCCAGCCATTCCCCTGATGGCAGACAAGAGTTGTGTGCATTATACAACCAACACAGCATCCTGACCTAACCTGCTGCCCTTGGTCAGGGTGGAGGAAGCTGTCGCCTCATCACTGTTGAGGAAGCTTCAGCTGCCAGTCTAGTCAGCTGGGCTGTGTGAAAGGAAAGGGTGCCTTCTTGTCCTTTGTCTCAGACAGCAGAATGCCTCTGGATGACCCTGGCAAGAACTATGGGGAAGGCGAGAGCACTGCCCTCCCTCCCACCCACCCACACGTCCTGCTGCCTCCTTAAAGCAGGACTGCCAGCTGCAGGGGGGTCGGGGCACATGTCCCCCACAGAGGGTGCATTGCGTGCTTGCTTCCTACAGGCCTCTCTGGAGTAGTATTCAAAAGTGCTCAGAATATGCCGTCTTCCGTTATGGCTTTCCTCTTATCTAGCCTGTCTCAGCCTTCCAGATATTTAGGACTAAAACTCCTAACTTTGCTGGCCATTATACTGGCTGGGGCTGATGGGAGTTGAGGAATAAAACATCTGGAAGGTCCTAGGTTAGGGAAGTCTGCCATAAATTGATTTTAATTTTGTGTCTTGCCTTTTTATCTAGTGAGGCACTTGAAGCAGCTAACAGAGACACACAATATAACTGATGACTGAATGAAACCTGGTGCAAAAAACCCCCCAGGATAATCTGCCAGCTAACTGATCTTGTTTTCATGTTTTCTCAAAAGAACATCACGCTGACTGATGTTGAAGGAGCCTGGATTATAGATGACCCAAGGATCCTCTGAGTCACTCAGACAAGCCTTTGCTTTGCCTTAATACAGACGTGGCCTGCTCAGGTAATGTGCATTTCTTCTGTTGTTTAAACTACTCCATTGGAGTGGCAGAGAGAGAAATGAGGAACATATGGGGATATTCCTGCAGAGGAGGGCTCGATCTTCCCATCTCTTGATCCATATAAATCAGATGTGGCTGAAGATTTTTCTGTTCTAATGCAGTCCCATGTGGTAAGCAGTTGCCTGGGATGAAAAGCATCCTCTTCCACACCTTCTCGACCCAAATACCTCCACATATGTCTCAGTGAATGAAATGGCATTTCCTTAGCATTAAGCAGCAATAATTGTTCACTGGAGAAGTACTGCAGCCTGGAGGACTGTTCCTGCTGTCCTTACACAAATGCTGTGGGCCCTTCCTGCCCACGAGAATATTGTGAGAGTGCAGACATGCTTCCCTTCCAACCTCCATCCCACCCCACATTGGCCAAGAGTTCTTTAAAAGAATTAGGACGCAATCCTGTGCATGTTTAAACTGAAGAAAAGGCCTACAACTCGCAGCTGGAGAAAGTTTTGCAGTTTGGAAGGCTATGTGCGCTTGGGAGCTGTAGGCCTTTTTTCTGTCTAAACATGTGCACGATCACACCTTTCAGGTGTTGAAAGTTGGAGCTCACCTCCAACAGGAGTGCTTGAACAGGGGAGGGTGCAAGGCAGAATATACTGGGAAAGCTATCAGCAAGACTGCTCTCTGTCCATCAGCAGTCCCTGGCCAGTTGCAAACTTCCCCACTTAATTCTGCATTCCCAGTCACCAGCGCTGGAGCCCACCCACCCCTTTTCATTTAAAAAGTAAAAGGTAGCAATGAGACAATCCCATCCCCTCAGCACAGGTAGTCCATGTGCCGCTCCTCTTTCCCTGGCCCCTGCCCAGGCTATTGGGCAGACGGAGTTCAATTCTAAGCTAAACCCAGGGCCAAATTCCATTTTGGAGAAAGTTTTGGCAATGGTATTCCAGTGATGCACAGCCCCAAAATCATGCACATCTTACTGCCAGTAACTTAACCTTAAGAGAGGCATTTCAGAAACCACTAAATATGGCCAATCAGGCAGGCCAGATTGAGGTTTTACACCAATGCTGAACTTAGGCTGGTGCTACTTCAGTCTTCAGAGCCCGAATCCTGCAACATGAAAGAAGGAAAGCAGCTTAGCAGAGACAGTCCTCTTGTTGCTCAGACCAGTTGCTGCACCACCAAGCTGAGGCCAGAGGGGGAGGGAGTTTGGAGAAGCAGCTGCTAAAAGCCGAGTACCTATGCCTGAACTTCCTGTTGTTGCATCAAAAAGACTCAGCAACCTTCTGCTGAGATAAAGCAGGCTTCCCTAACCTGGGGCCTTCCCAGATGGGTTGAAATAGTAACCCAGCCTCAAGAAGGTCCCAGGTTGGGGAAGGCTGAGATAAGGGGATGCAGCCCCAGAGTGGTCTGTGTCTTTACTGGTTGCATGCAGACCTGTTCTGATTGCTTCGTTGTGTCCATAACAACAGTGAAGCTTTGGAAGTGGGCCTGATTTGCAAATGCTTTTTAATATACCCAGCTTGTCCCATGTTAATCCCCATCTGTCCTAGCAGGCATCATTGTTTGCTTGTGACATGGGTGGGGTTGAAAGCTGCCTGCTTCTTTAAAAAAAAGTAGCAATTAATAATTTTGGCTGGGGACCAGGCAGCATGCTTGCAGAGTTTTTGAAGTTTGAGGGAAGCAATTTCTCTTCCCCCCCTACCCAACCCGAAGTAGGACTCAACATGCTTTCTTCCACCCTGCCCCAAGGCCAGGCCTCTTGGATCTTGGTGATTTGTGTTTGAGGGGAAAGGCGGGGCCTCCAACCTAGTATTAAAGTGTTAGTACAGTTAATGAGAAAAAAAGAAAGACTTGAACTCTTATCTCTTTTCTCCTGTTATGTTGATGAGTAAGTGCTGGCTGCAGCTTTATTGTTATAGGGATGTTTGATTAAATGTGGAGATTTTGTTATAATCATACTGTACCTTCTGTGAAAAGCCTGTTGAAATGATCAAGGAAGAGTCATGCAAACTGGGCCATAAAAGTAAAATAGTCATTGTGGCTCATTGGCAGTGGCAACCAATAGTGCCTCCTTTGCTGGGAAGACCTAAATATCTGAGTCCTGGGGCTGGTGATATCCCTGCAAATCAATCCTGGCCTGCTCTGTCAACACAAATGCAGTGCAATAACCATGCGTTGTGGTAATTGACAGTCTTCCATTTTTTGCTTTCCTAGGCAGACCCCAATGAGCTAAAAAAGCAAGAGGGGAAGGCACTTGAGTATCAAGAAACAAAAGAAAGTTATCAGGTGCCTGAAGAAAATATTCTGCTTAATGTGTTTGGGGGGGGGATCCTTCCTCGGGAGGGGGGGGCTGCTTATCTTTCTTATGATGTTGTCAGAAAAGATGCCTTCCAATGACTCTTCTGTGTTGCAGTGAAGTGCAGTCCACCTTGTTTTACTGGAGCCAAGAGTATTGACATTTGTTAAAACCTGAGCTCCTTTTTAAAACAAAAGATTTTGACAGAGGTAAAGAGCATTTTGTGTGCAAAGGCATGTACAGATTTCATGGCTGAATATGTTTCTGTAAAAAAAAGGCCTTTCGACCCTGCTCTAAATCTCAATTTTTAAAGGATATGCAATATTCTAGCTCCAATAAAAATGGCTGGGCTACACTTCTCCATCTTCCTAAGTACCTAAGATCTCAGGAGTGGGTAAAAAGCTGGAGACATTGGAGCCAATCAGCAGAAGCAAAAAACCACCCAGGATACCAGTGTCAAAGGGAATAAATCCCTCCGCCCCTTTTTCACTCCTGTCTTTGCTTGATTTGCCTTTTGACAGCTATCAAGGCAAAGCAAAGTGCACCTGGTCCCTGGTCAACTTCAATGGTTGGAGCATTCTGCACTTTGATAGCAGGTCCCACCAAAGCATTGTCCAGGTGAAAGAATCTCATTTTTGCACACACAGAAATATACACATCTGCACCTCCAGAATTGTACAATTCCAGGTAAAATAATATTTTTAAATGTTAGTGAATTATCTGAGCACATTTGGAGTAGATTTTCTTTAAAGATGTAGCAAACCAATGACAGCTCCTCTACTGTGTTGCTTGAGTGCTTTGGGAGACTGTCAGTGGCTGTCAAAAAGGAGATCATGACAAGTGGTAAAGGAGGAAAAGTTATGGTGTAGTAAAATGACTCCTGATCATGATGAGGAGAGCAGCTTTAGCTGTTAAGTGCCCTGAGATGACAGCCAGCTACTTGAAGGGGAATGAGAGGGATGACAACCCACAGTAAACCCACTCTGTCAGGTCCACTGTGGGTGGTTCTTGCCACAACCAACCCACTGTGAGTTTTTGCCGAGGTGGGTTGGCTTGACGTATGAACCTAACTCAGTATGGCAGACTGTGCCAGGCAACCTTGTGTGACTGCTTAATTTTTTTATATTGGGTAGCTTCAAGCCCCGGCTCTTCCTTCTGAGACTTTTTAATGTTTAACTGAAAATGGACCGGGCAGCCCTCCCAAGGACTGTCCTCTGTAATTGCTACCCTAGTGTTGATTAGTGGTGTACTTGTGCCAAGAAGTGGCTTCTCCATTCTAGCCCTTAAGTTTGGTGTCACTGCTCACTGGTCGGCTTGCAGAAGGTTCTGGATTCAGTTCCTGGCATCTCTATTTCCAGGGCTAGGAGAAACTTTTACTTGAGGCATTGGAGGCATTATGAAGTTACATGGCCCAATATTCTGAATCTGTCCAATTCTCCACAGTATGTATGGGTTCAGCCCCTCAACGTCCTTTTGAGCACTGTGTCACCCTGCAGTAGTTGAGCACACTGCCATAGTGGCTAAATGGCGGATTTGCTGGCTGTTTGCAATGTGTCACCTGTTGTTGCTGTAAGATGAGCAAAGTATGCTCATCTTCATCTGCTTGGGAGTTATTTTCCACAAGAACATCTGTAAACTTGCCAGCCTCCATTGCATAGTTGGCATCTGGAGCTCTCTGGTGGTAAAAGCTGGAGCACTGAAACAAGCAGGTCCGCTGAGTGAGGCATAAATTGGCTGCATGGGGTGGTCTCATGTGGCCAGGGGTGCCTGGGGGTATGTGGGGTTTCTTTTTTCAGGCATCAGCTTGAAGGAAGGCAATGCACTTAAATCTGGTGTGCACTGGGAAGCAGAACCTGCTTCCAACCCCCATCGTGTGCTTGGCCAGGGAGTGCCTTCTGAACAGGAAATGCAGTAGCAAAGGAACCACAGTTGGACTATGGGGTGCCGCACTTTAAAAGGGCAGGGGTGGTAGAACACGGCCTCTCCCACTGCCACTGCAACACACATGCCTTTCACCTCAGTCCCCACAAGCACTTACAGTCCGATTCAGATCCAGCACAAGCTAAGGTCCTCCTGCTGGAAGCAGAAACCATAAGCATGAACTGCAGAGCCAGCCAGTCTGGTCGTGTGGACAGTGTTAGGCCAGAGCTAGGGTTCAAATCATAGTTCAGTCATGGCTGTAATGCTCCTGCAATGTAGATGCCAAGAACTAAGATCAGCCAGGCAGTCCTTCTTGCAGATCTTTCCACAGCCATGTCCTTAAGCAACTCATTCTTCCCTCAACCTCAGCTTCTTCCCAGCTGCACTATGAAAATAATTATACTGACCTAACTTGTAGCATTGTGGCGAGGATTACTGAGATGCCACACATATAGTGTTTCTAATACGCTCAAGTGCTATATCATGGCTCAGCATTAATACCTTCTGGTTTGCCTTAGTCTTGTATCTGTACAACGGGATTATCAGCCTACCTTAAAGGACACTTCATAAAGCACTTGTTCAATGATCTTCTTTCCCTTGTGTTGACAGGGCCAAAGAGGAAAGAGGCAGGTATTTTTAGGCAGATGATCCAGCAGTGGGTTGGCACAATGGTAACTGAGCCACCTGTGCTGCTCCAGAGAGCAGTGCCAAATGTGAGATTTACTAGATATTCCCATCTAAAGCTGCCATCCTATGCAAGTTGGACAGAAGAAGGACCTACAATCCCAGTGGCAGAAAAGATATAGGCACCCAAAGTGTCAGCCTGGAAATGCATGCCATGTCCCCTTGCTTGGTGTGGGGAGGGGGGGTGGCAAACATTATATATAGGGCTATTGCCTTGCAAGGAATCTTAGTCAATAGACCAGTATTTTGCTAGCCTGATCAATGCTTTGTTCAGCTGTGAAAAAAGAAGGCTGTCATGGGGAACTTGTATAGCATTTTCATCGCCTAAGGCAGGGTTAGGTAACCTGGCACAATGCAGGTATTTTTGACTACAACTTCCATGAACCCTCCCTGCTGGCTGTATTGGCTAGGGCTTATGTAAATTGTTGTCCAACCCATCCAGAGGGCACCACATTGCCTTCCTACCATATTTTCCCAAAAATAAAATAAGGGTATTATATTAATTTTTGCTCCAAAAGACCCACTAAGACTTATTTTCAGGTGAAGTCTTATTTTTTCATGTACAACAATCTACGTTTATTCATTTATTCATGTACAAAAATCTACATTTATTCAAATACAGTCATGTCGTCTTCTTCCGGAACATCATCATAACTCTCCAAGCCCTGAATTGTGTTGCAACTAAATGCATCCATCTGGCTAACAATCTTAACTGGGGCTTTTTTGGGGGGAAGAGCTTATATTACGAGCATGCTGAAAAATCATGCTAGGGCTTATTTTCCAGTTAGGTCTTATTTTCAGGAAAACGGGGTATGACCTAAGATGTGATATATTTAAACTCATAGGCACACACTATGGATCAGATAGGGGCAGTGTTGGCAAGCTGGTACCCAGATGGTAATCCTTCTCTTGCACAAGCCAGGGGTAAACTGGAGGCATGTGGGCACCGTAAGTCAGTTTGAAACAGCAAAAATAGCAACATCTTAAATGCAAACAGGCAAATACTTTCAGCAGTTTTTCATAAAGCACGTCACTTTCAAGCCACTCTTTCTGATAGCTCTGTGGTAGTTTGCCAGGGTGCAGGAAGGCAGGGATGGGTTTCGTACTGAGCAACCCTGTGGAGTGGGGCCTGTACATTTTTCGTTCTGTTCCCATGAGTGAAAGGGGAAGCTCTTTCTCAAATGGCACATCAGAGAAGAGAGGGGGCCTGCAACATTTCGGAAGGAGGGTTTGGTATCCCTTCTGCAAGCTGTAGCCCTTTTCCTTAAATGAAAACTGAGATACAAAAGGTGAATCCATCTGATGCTGGTATTTGACCCTGTATATCCCTGGAGCTTTAGGCAGAGTGTTGGTTCTTCTGATGCCTCTCTTTGTTTTCCCCCGTATCTTTTTTTTCCTAACCTTGTTGATTTTGTGTGTCTTTTGATGGCTTTCAGGCTTCTTCAAGTTGGGCCTCAACCCATCAGCTCCAAATGGATGCCTTTCCAGCGTGGTTCTCACCTGAGGCCTTCTAAAACAGATCTCCCTGGACAGGGCCCAGTGTAACCAGTCCCGGGGAAAGCATAGCAAAGCCATGGGGAGCATCTACAAATACTACTTCAACTCGTGCAAGATCTTGGAGCACTACAACTACACCAAGGATAAGCTGGAGAAGGATGGGCCCGCCACACTACCTCCCGTTACCATCGTCATCATAGTGGTGTGCTGCATTATCATCCTGGAGAACCTGCTGGTGTTGGTGTCCGTCTGGCGGAACAAGAAGTTCCACTCGGCCATGTTCATCTTCATTGGCAACTTGGCCTTTTCGGACCTGCTGGCTGGCTCTGCCTTCATTGCCAATGTTGTCCTCTCGGGCCCAGTCACCTTCCATCTGACACCGGTGCAATGGTTCGTGCGGGAGGGCACAGCCTTTGCCACATTGGCAGCCTCGGTCTTCAGTCTTTTGGCCATTGCCATCGAGCGGCATGTGGCCATCACCAAAATGAAGGTCTACAGCAGCGACAAGAGCTGTCGGATGGTGCTCCTGATTGGGGCCTGCTGGATCATCTCAGCAGCAATCGGTGGGCTGCCCATCCTTGGCTGGAACTGCTTGTCGGACCTCAATGACTGCTCCACAGTCCTGCCACTTTACTCCAAGCGCTATATTGTCTTTGTGGTGACTGTCTTCATAGCCATTCTTTTCTCCATTGTGGTCCTCTATGTCCGGATCTACTGCATTGTCCGTTCCAGCCATGCTGAGATGGCCACCTCCCATGCAGTGTCCTTGCTCCGGACAGTCACCATTGTCTTAGGGGCCTTCATCATCTGCTGGCTGCCTGCCTTCATCATCCTCTTGATAGACACTTCATGTCCCAGGAAAGCTTGCACCATCCTTTACCAAGCCAAATACTTTTTTGCTTTTGCGACCCTCAACTCTGCCATCAACCCCATCATTTATACACTCCGCAGCAAGGACATGAAGAAGGAGTTCCTGCGGGTGCTCTGCTGCTGGGGGGTGATGGGGCTGGGGAAGCCAGAAGATCGGTGCATGATTCCCCTCCGCAGCTCCAGTTCCCTGGACCGGTGCACCCAGAAGCAGGAACTACCCACATCACCCTTCATGAAGAAGCACTCCACATTTGTGTGAAGAGACACGAGGAGACTAGGGAGATGGGTGGGCACTGAGAAGGACCAGCGGGTCCAGACCCGAGAGAGCGGTACAAAGGTGGTGTGGTACATGGTGTGGAATATTGTCCTGGGAGCCAGTCGTCCTGCCTTGGAATTACATGGAGGTGTCAGTTTGTTCACTAGGCCTGCGCAGTATTATAACTTTCTGTTTGGAGAGAGAGAATGTGTGAGTGTGTGCATGAGAGAGAGCGGGGGGGGGGGTGTGGGGGAGACTGACTGACTGACTTGAACTGTGAGGACTGGGAAGCTACTGACAATCTGATTTGGTACGATTCTCCTCCTTCCTAAAAGGTGCCCTGCCTATCTGTACACCCACAGTTCCTTCTGCCCTTCAGCTCAGAGCTATGCTTTTGTGTTTTCCCATCTTTGCAGAATGCTCACTCCCTCTTTTCAGGGAACCAGCATTCACCCACAGTAATCAGGGTGACTCTTTGCCTGGGCAGTGTCTACCTTCTTACATTGGTTCTAAATTTTAGAACAAAACGGGACAGTTTGATAGCTCCACTGCTATGTGTGAAACACATTCCTTGCTATATTTTTTCTGGGCTCCACTCAAACTGGTTTTGCAGTTTTATTCTAGTAGAACCAGGAAACAGCCAGTCCCTTTCTTCAGAAGGGGAGGCAAGGTTGATCCTAGAGATGAAATATGGCTGGCACGAGTGCCCATTGGCTAGTGCTCATGACATTGAGGAAGCCAAGCTAGATGTTTCCTCTGTCCTTTTCTCAGCTCTTAAAATCTTTTCGCTCCCCCCTTGCTCAGTAAAGTGACAGAGGAACACATGTGCACATAATGTCATATATGGCTATATGTTGTTGTGAACTGCCCAAGAGCTTCGGCTGTTGGGCAGTTTAGGAAAAATAAATAAATAGCTCTGCAGAGCGCTGGAGAGCAAAATAGTGCAAGGCTAGCCTATCCCCCTCTTAAAGACAGGGTTTTTTCCTCCTTTTTATTAAACAACAACATTGAATTGAGTGGAAGATGGAATTAAGATCGCTTGGTTTTAAACATCTTTATTCAAAGGTGCATCCAAGCTTTCCCTGTCTCTCTGCAGCATGTGAATTTCCCCACTCCTTTTTCTGTTGAAGCTTAACTGGGGAAGAGACCAAAGAAGCTGTTAAAGGAGAAATCATTCTGAAATGTTACTTAACATTTGCAGCCTGAGTTAGTGAACTTGCAATCCTGGCTCAGGTCATTACCCATGGAGTTGCTGAGTGGCATTCATGCACAGCCTGTCCCTGTGTGATTAGGCATATACAAAAATGCATGGAGTGAGAGAAATGTGTATTTTCCTATGCACTTCTACAATATATATGTGCAGAATGAACCAAAGTTACCATTGCAAATATGAGAAACTGAGTGAAGCCCAGATTGGTAGTGATTGTCCATTGCTACCCTAGAAGTTGTAGGAGGAGTAGCAGCTGCCCCCCCCCCCGCCCATTCCCATTCTCAAGTTTCAAAACAGGGGTAAATGTACTGGCTGTAGCAGCCTAGCACCAGCCAACTCCTAAAAGTAGCCCACCCATAAGAAATTGCTGACCAGGGGCCTAGATGGGAAATCAGTCCAGTGTTGCATTTGGTAGCCCCTTCTATTACATGGGCTGCACAGTATGCCTGTCGAAGGGAAGCCAATTTCAAGAGATGATCCTTGCATTAGAACACCCACCTTTCCTACAGCCTTGTTAAGAGGTTGAGTTTGCACACACAGGCTGCCTCCCTTAGGATGCCGTTCCCCATCCCGACCTGAATTACCAGTCTGCAGCAGTTCTCTTGACTCCCAGCCCCTCTGTTCAAGCAAACGAGCTGTTGTGTGGGAACAGGGGTGTGCTGTGGGTTCTGGGTTAGGTGGTTTGGTGAGGCTGGGGGCATTGCTAAGGGAGAAGCAGTGAGATGTACGTGTGAGTGTCGTGGGGGGGGGGGAACAGTTCCTTCAAGGAAAGAGCTAGGAGTGGGTGTGTTGCCTGCCAGCATAGCTGCTCCAGCTGGAAGCATGATTCACCCAGCATGATGTGTAGGAACATGCCATTAAGAGCAAGAGGAGGATGTTTTTATGAATGGGAATTAGATGCAGGCGTGGGAACCATATTCCTCCCTAGGCACGGGTGACGCAGCCCGGGGCTGGATGAGGTGGGTGATTGCTTTAAATAACGCAGCCTCCTCCTCCTCCTCCCCCATCCCCACTCACCCCAGAACAATCTTTTGTCAGAATAGTATTTGCTCTGGAAAAAATAAATGTATAGGAGATGCCACCCCTTATTCTCAGCAAATAACCAAGAAAAGTATGTCTTGCTTCCCAGTTTAGCTTGGCTGTTGTTTTTAAGCAGTTCCAGTGATGCTTGTACATGGGCAGCCAGGCACGTTGTGAAATGACAATCACAAGGAGTGTGCGCACCAACCAGCCCCCAGGGCTGCTTCTGCAGCTGGGATGGTAGCAACATCATCTGGGATCACTTTATCTCTAGAAATGCACCTCTGTGTGCATAGATGCTTCCCAGGAAGGTGTTTCACCCTGACACTTTTCCAGTTATCTTAGATTTAAGCATAGACATGTGCAGGTATCTGAAACATAGTAAAGAGCAGGGTGTGTGAGATGGGTGTAGTTGTAAGCCATAGAAAGAGAGGAGGCATGGGGCGGCACCCTCGTGTACTTGTGGAAGGAATTGCGGCTCCATTCCTGTGAATATGAATAAGCAACTAAGCAAAGACCAAATGTTATGCTCACCGGTGGAATAAGATAACAGTGCAGTGTGTGTATAAGCATAACGCCTGCTCTGAAATGAGCTGCACTGAGTTCAATGGGACTTGCTCCCAGGTAAGTATATGTAGGATGGCAGACTAAAACTGTGGACCTATGAAGCATGTTTACTTGTGCTGTTCTCACAGCAATGAAAGTGTGTGTGTGTGTGTGTGTGTGTGTGTGTGTGTGTGTGTGTAAAACGCCTCAGTGTGCAAGTGCCAGCAAAAATGGAGTGTGAAATTGCTGATCTGTACAGTATTGCTGAGCAGTCATTTTGTAGACCAGCACTGACATAGCCATGTCACCTGTGTCCACCCAACTGGAACCAGTGATGTGTGTGTTTAGGCTGATGCTTGTTCTTCTTCATATGTGTGAGCATTTTTATGCATTTCGTGAGAATGGTCATGGAGTGTCACCCTCCTCCCACAATTATGTGGCACTGCTGCAGTGACATAACACTGCCTGTGGTGTGATGCCACGTGTAACCTCTCTGGCTGTCCCTTCCCTGTGTCTTATTTTTGTACCCCACCCACCGTTCCTTTGTCAAGTCAAGGACAATGCCCACGGCTGCCTTCAGTGAGAGATTGCCACCTGGAACTTAAAGGCATCCTTTTGACCCCACTTCAGGTGCTTGTTCCTAGTAACAGTGAGAAAATTTCTCATTGGTTAGAGACAAGCCTTGAAGCAGCTAGAGGTATATCCAGGCTTTATAGGGGTTCAAACCTGTTTGATCAGAGGACAATGGTGGGACAAAAGAAGAAGCATGCACACCAATCCCGTAGGCAACAGCGGCTGTACCAAACAGTACAGCCCTATTGGTAATGGTTGAGGCCCCATCAGTGAGGGTGTTCAAGGATAAGCTAGACATGCACATGGTAGGCATGTCATGAGCGGAGCTGGCTGGAGCTGGGGGTCAGACTAGATGGCCCGGGAGGACTCGTCTGACTTGCTCTGTTTCTATGTTTCTAAACCACCCTCAATTCTTCAAAAACGATGGTCTGTCTCCAATCTCACCTCTGCCTCCTGCTCCTGCTATCAGGAAGATAGGGAAGCTGCCTTATACCAAGTCGGATCCTTGGTCCATTTAGCTCCATCTTGTCAGCACTGGCTCACTGCTGTGGCTCTCCAGGGTTTCAGGAAGGATTTATTTTTATTTTTTCTACCTAGGGATCAAACCTGGGAGCCTCTGTATGCAAAGCATGTGTTCCGCCAGCTGTGCTGTGGCTTTTCCCCCTCAATATTAATCCTATAATGAATAGTGACAAGTTTGGGAGAGGCTGTTTGTTGAAGTCACAGAACAATTGTTGGAAAGTCGATTTGGCTTATTCTGAAGATATCAGCTGGAAAGTTACAACCAGAAGCAACAACCCCAAATTGGAGACCCCATCCATGTTAGCCACCACATCAGTGTGCTTTGGAGCAGAGACATTGGGTCTGCTGTCATTCTTGAGCAGTCAAAGCAGAAGATTTGGTAGATGATGTATCTTTAGCACAGGCTTGTGGGTTCATTCATTGGTTCTTTGCCCCTGAGGATTATGGCAGTGGGAAGGGGACCAAGGGATCTTAGAATAATTTCATCCTGGCCACATTATAATTGCCAGGAATTTGCGGGAGAAATTGGCATAAATTGGATATAGGTTTGTGGTATAGACATGCCCATAAATGCAGAACACAACCACTGTTAGAAAGTATTGACTGAGTTCAGACAACATAATAGCTCACATTCAAGGGCTGAGTGTGGGTTGTTGTTGAAATGTGAATTATCAGAATCTGAATTCAACTGTGATAAACTATGGCAGACAACTCACAGTTTACAACCCAAGGACAAACCTTGGGTTCTCTTCATGGGTTGTTAATGATGAACAAGCCATGGCTTGTTAGTGCAGCTGGACTCAGACAACATGATAACCCATATTTCAGTGACAACTCACATTTGAAAAACAACCCAAGCTCAAATCATATGCAAACCTTGAGTTTGAGTTACAGTGTTCTTGAAACCCAATCAGTGGGTTGATCTCTAGATCTAGCTTTACCTTGGTAGCAGCCTAGAGGCAAGAGTGGGGAAGAGAAAGTGCAATAAACCACTCATTGTCACCACAGTGCAATCTCTCCCTCTCTGTACTGCCCACATTAAATGGTACGGTCTTGGGCTGTTCATGCCTGCCCTCCCTCTCCCTGCAGAATCTTGCCTGTGGAAACACTAACTTTTGTTTTTGTTTTAAATATTATTCTCCACTTTAACCGTTAGCAGAGAAGTGTATGTATTAAAATGTGTTCTATCTTGCCCCCCCTGCGCAGTTGTTTCTTTGTCCACGCTGTTTCAGGGCAGGCACATTTGCAAAAAATAATCAGGCAGCATTTCCTAACTTGGAATCCTCCAGATGTCAGCTGATGGGAGCTGTTTTCCAGCACAACTGGAAGGTACCAGGTTAGCCTA